AATGTTAACTCATTGTGCCAAATTAAGATTGTCCCTAAAGTAGTAGATGGTGTTTTTGTTGTAAGTGCAGACCTGTATAATCAAAATTGTTATAATTGTTTTGTTTTTTAGTTTTTTGAAAGATTGTATAAATAAAAATATTACTGTCATCACAAAGTACATTTTATTTAATTTTACTTCAAAACGTTATCAGCACGAAGCTCTGTTCTGATTTAGTAAAATTAAATAGGATAAGCGAAAACATATAAGTTTCAGAGATGACCGGCGGTGATGCGGATAGTAGTACTTCATCTTCACTTTCATCGTTAGGATCGATCAAAGTCCTAAATTGTCGCGATGGTTATTCGACATGGAAGTTTAAGATAAGAATGTATTTAAAACATGAAAATCTTTGGAAGACCATTGAAGATAAAGGTACCGAGAGAGAAAAGGAATTAGCTTTATCAAAGATATGTCTAACATTAGATGGTTCAGCGATTACTCATGTAAGGGCTTGCAAATCTCCTAAAGAAGCTTGGGAAGTGTTGTCTTCTGCGTACGAAGATAAGGGAATGGGACGCAGGTTAGCTCTAGAGCGTAGGCTCTATCGTTACTCGCTTGCGGATTTCGATGATGTCGAAAGTTATATAAACGCCATCATGTCCACAGCGCAGGATTTAGACGAAATTGGCAAAACAATCGAAGATGTTTCATTGGCTGCTATATTATTAGGAGGTCTTACTCCGCACTACAATCCTTTAATCATGGCTATGGAAAATTCCAATATAATAGTGAGTAATGAATTGGTCAAGTCCAAGTTATTAAATGAGTTTACACGAAGTAATTCTGAAGATGGGTCTGCCTTAAGCTCACGGTATAGTCAGAAACAAAAGCCTTCCACGTCAAAAGCTAGGAAACGGGTAATATGTTATGAATGCAAAGAACCTGGACATAAGAGACCAGATTGTCCTCACAGAAAGAACAAGAATGATGGAGCTTGCAAAGAAGAGTCAACATTATTGAGTGCACTTAATATATGTGGCAACATCAAAGGTGACAAATGGTATATTGACTCAGGTGCTTCTACTCACATGTGTTCCAGGTTCGACTGGATGGAAAACCTTAAGCCATTATCAAAGGGTAGGGTGACCATTGCTAACGGAGACCAATTGAATTGCGAAGGTATTGGTAATGTTTCTATTTCAGGTGCAAGTGTAAATAAAATTTCAGATGTTGTTTATATACCGAACTTGAATTCTAATCTGATATCTGTTAAAAAGGCTACTGAAAGGAATTTTATTATTGTTTTTGATAAAAATGGTTGTAACTTTTATAATTCTGATAATTTTTCTTGTACAGGTAATGCTATTTTACACGGTTCCTGTTGTGATGGATTGTACACTTTAGATTGTACTGTAAATCTACCTAAAACACTAACAGCTTTCGATGTGCACTACGATTGTGCTGATTATAAACTCTGGCATAAACGTCTAGGTCACCTGTGTCGTATAGGGCTGGACGCACTTAAGAAAGGTAATGCTCTTGGCATAGATTATGCGGAAGTTGATAAGGAACCCTGTATCGCTTGTATTGAAGGTAAGTAGTCGAGAAAACCTTTTAAGAAAATTACTTATAAGAAAGCTACTTCCAAATTAGAACTGATACACTCGGATCTCTGTGGTCCTATGTCACAAAACTCCTTTCAAGGTAATAAATATGCTTTATTATTCATAGATGATTTTTCCAGGATGGTATTTATTTATTTTGTCTCTTCAAAAGTTGAAGTAAAGAATAAATTTTGTATTTTTCAGTCTATGGTTGAGAGAGAAACGGGATTAAAAATTAAAGTATTGCGGTCTGATAATGGGACTGAGTATGTTAATAAAGAATTCTCAAATTATCTAGCGTCATTAGGGATTCAACATCAGACTACAGTTCCATATAGTCCCCAGCAGAACGGCGTTTCTGAAAGGACGAACAGATCTATCATAGAAAAGGCCCGCTCTATGCTTTCAGATAGCAATCTCTCTAAAGCATATTGGCAGGATGCTGTGGAAACTGCAACGTACTTAAAAAATAGGTCTCCACATCGAGCCCTAGATGGTCAAACACCATTTGAGAGGTGGTATGATAGAAAACCCAACTTATCTCATTTGAGAGTTTTTGGGTGTCGATCTTTAGTTCAGATTCAATCTAGTTCTAGGAAGAAGCTAGATCCAAAATCTCTTCAACATATTTTCGTTGGATATACAGATGATCCAAAAAGTTACTATTTTCGTGATCCTTGTTCTCCAAGGAGATTAACTAAAGCAAGGGATGTTGTTTTCTTTGAAAACTCCTTCTCTGATTTAAAGCTTTCAAACCCAGAGTGCAGCTCAGCAAAGCATTTACTAGAGCCCGTACCTGCATCCTCAGTTTTAATTCATTTATCAGATCCAACCGCAAATGATTCTATTGTACCAGAACCAATAGCTGGTCCAAGTATAGCAGAGGTTGATATCTGCGAGGATCCTCAAGAATCTTCAACAGTTGAGGAATATATTTCTGATAAAGAAACTGCAGGACAAAGATATCCACTCAGAAACAGAATAGCTAACCGCATTGATGTGAATTTATTTTGTAATAATGTCACAGCGTGCGAATATTTTAATGAGCCCCAATATTTTGCAGAAGCTGTTAATTCAAAAGATAATGAGTATTGGTATTCTGCAATGAAAGATGAGTATGACTCATTAATAAATAAGGGAACTTGGATGCTTGTGGACAGACCTAATAAACAGGTTATTCCTTGCAAGTGGGTTTACAAACTCAAGAAAAATGCTGAAGGCCAAATAGTTAAATACAAGGCCAGACTCGTTGCTAAAGGTTTCAGTCAAATTGCTGGTGTCGACTACTATGAGACCTTCTCTCCAGTGGTTCGCAACTCATCCCTTCGTACGCTTATAGCTTTAGCTGCAGAAAGGGATTTAAAAATGCAGCACTTAGATGTTGATACAGCATTTTTAAATGGAGAATTGGAGGAGGAAGTCTATATGGCCCAACCTGAAGGATTTATCAAACAAGGAGAAGAAGGTAAGGTATGCTTGCTGAAAAAGTCTCTTTATGGGCTGAAACAGGCAGCACGCTCATGGAACATAAAACTAAATGAAACTTTATCTTCTTTGGGTTTTTTACAAACTCCTTCAGAACCTTGTGTTTACACTAAAAGGTTTAATGAAGACCTACTTATACTGGCAGTTTATGTTGATGACCTTATAATTTTTTATAAGGAAAACAATTCTTTTGAATTTGTTAAAAAAGAGTTAAACAAATATTTCTCAATAAAAGTATTGGGAAATTGAATATTGTTTAGGTTTAAATGTAAAACGTGATGGTAATTCGATAAAGATTAATCAAAAAACATATATTTTGGAAACTTTAAAGCGATTCAATATGCAGGATTGCAAATCAGTTTCTACTCCTCTAGAAAATTATAAATTAAAACCATATGATAAGGGTGAACAATCTTCTGTGTATCCTTACCAAAATCTGATAGGTTGTTTAATGTTTTTATCTGTTAATACTCGACCGGACATAGCCTATGCAACAAGCTATTTGAGTCAATTCAACACTAAATTTGACAAAACGCATTGGCTAGCCGGAAAAAGGGTTCTCCAATATTTAAAGGGTACTATTGATTATTCCATAGTTTACAGAAAGACCGGCGACTATTTACATGGGCATACAGATGCAGATTGGGCAAATTGTCCAGTTGATCGACGTTCTTATACCGGGTTCTATTTTTCTTTGGCCGGTGGACCAATTTCTTGGGAGTGTAAGAAGCAGGCAACAGTTGCTCTCTCATCTACTGAGGCAGAGTATATGGCCCTCACAAGCGCTGCCAAGGAAGCCACGTTTCTTCGAAGATTTATTTCCGAAATAATAGGAACGAAAGACAGAGTTATTATTTTTAGTGACAGTCAGAGTGCACATAAAATAGCACTTAATCCAATCCATCACAACAGGACTAAACATATAGATACAAAATATCATTTTATAAGAGAAAAGATATCTGAAAAGATAATTGATATACAATATTTGCCAACAGAAAATATGTCAGCTGACATTCTAACAAAGCCGTTAGGACGTTTAAAACATAATAGGTGTATTTTAGGATTGGGTTTAACTTAGCCAATTTTCTCTTACTAATTTTCGAATTCCTTTTAGTTAGTGTTTTATGATTTATATTATACTTTGTCAATCATACCCGAATTTTGATTAAGGGGGAATGTTGTAAGTGCAGACCTGTATAATCAAAATTGTTATAATTGTTTTGTTTTTTAGTTTTTTGAAAGATTGTATAAATAAAAATATTACTGTCATCACAAAGTACATTTTATTTAATTTTACTTCAGTTTTAAATGTTATAACAATTTTATAAATAGTTTTATTCTATTCTAATTAATAAAATTTGCTTGAATATTTAGTTACATTTTATTCATTTTGATTAGAAATTCATCAATTTTTAGTTTTAAAAAATCAGTAATAAAATTATTTTTTTTTTATAAAATACTTCGGAATTCATCTCTTCATGGTAATCTCCCATCTTTTTACCTTCAAAAACCAATAATGCATTTTCTACAAAACCTTCAGAATCAGCATGTAAAATAATAAGGTGTCTTCCCTTTCTTGTAAGGCTTTTCAGGAATTGCTACCTTTAATAGTACTCAGTGTAGAAGTATCCATAATTGTAGATTTTCAATACAATTGCTTACTGAAGAACTATTATTTACGAAATAAAGTAAAAAATAAGTAATGGATAAGATATCAAATTATAAAATGTCAGAACTGTCAACAATATCAATTATTAGCTGATGTTCATGCTAAAAAGTAATGTGTGAAACTGACTGTAATCTGACCAATCAGAAGGCTACATAATTACCAAATTAAATTCAAATCGCTCCTCTTAGTTTAAAAACAGAGTATAGTACCGAGAAATTACACTTAGGCCTACTTGAAGTTGACTTAGGCTTAGTTGTGAGTTCTGATGTTGCTGTTTCTGAACAAGAAGAGGTACTGAAAACTAACTTAGACATAGTAGAAACTGATATTGCTAGTACCGAGCAATTAGGCTTAGGCCTATTCTTAGTTGTGAATCCTGATGTCGCTGTTTCTGAACAAGAAGAGGTACCGAAAACTGACTTAGACATAGTAGAAAGTGCTGATGTTACTGCTCCCGAGCAAGAAAACCCCGTCCTTACCGAAGTTAGTGAAAATGGGCCTGTAGACTTTGATGTTCCGATTACTGATATTACTAATAATGTTACACCTAGTCGAAAACGAAAGAAACGCCATCAAGTTAATAATTCTACGTGGAAGATAAATAAATCGAAAGAAGCTAGGAAGACTGGAAAAGAGTACTTAGGTAAGAAAAAAAAATGATGCAGGACCGTATGAGTACAACATTAAGAGAAATGCCAGGAAAATGAAAGTACGTTGTAAATGTAAAAGGAAGGAAAACAGTTTGTTACAGTGTGCGTTATTAACTAAAACTGAAAGACAAGAGAACTTTAATGAATTTTATCAACTAGATTGGGAGGGTAAAAGATTATTTGTAAATTTTTTAACCAAAAAAACTGAAACTGCAAGAGCCAAAGGAAGGAAAGAAGATACCAAAAGTAGAAGGAAATACTCATGTCAATATTACTTAAAAAAAGACGGGGGTATTATTAGAGTATGTAAAACTATGTTTTAAAACTCGCTGTCTATTACAGAGTGGATGGCTCACCACTGGCAAAATAAACAAAATTATGTTCAAGAAGAAACTGGGGAGAATGGGGATGCATTACCGGATGACCATGGAAACGAGATTAAGACACTCAGCTGCAGTTAAAGCATTGGAGAATTTTCTGCAAACTCTACCTAAAGTAGAATCTCATTATTGCAGAAAAAGAACAAGTAAATTGTACTTGGATCCTTGCTGGAAATCCAAAAGGGAGCTTTACTTGTTTTATAAGAGCAGCTGGTGTTCTCAGAAAAATGTAGAATCTCTCTCTGAATGTAAATTTGCCCAAAAGTTCGAAGACATGAACTTGGCCTTGTTTCAGTTAAAAAAAAATTCTTGCGATAAGTGTGAATCCTACAAAACTGGAAACTTAAGCAATGAAGATTATGAAGCTCATGTGCTAAGAAAAGACGAAGCTAGGATGGAAAAAGAAACAGACAAATTTAACCCAAATTATGTGACTCTCACAATGGACTTAACAATCCTTGTTGCAGTCTCCTAAGTCTACTGTGTCTGCACTGTATTATAAAATGAAACTTTCAATCCACAATTTCACAATTTTCAATTTAACAACACATGATGGTTTTTGTTTTCTTTGGAACGAAACTGAGGGTGGTCTATCTTCAAATGAGTTTGCCACAATAATTTCTAAGTTTTTGCAGTCACAACTCCCTTTGCCTCAAGGAAAGGCTACACTGGTACTATACAGTGATGGATGTTCATACCAGAACAAGAGTTCAACTGTAGCTAATGCTTTGTTGCATTTTTCCTGCACAAATAATATCGTAGTGGAACAAAAATATCTAGAAGTGGGTCATACCCAAATGGAGGCAGACACAATGATTGAGAGAAAGCTAAAAAATGTAAAAATCAATGTCCCAGCAGATTACACAAATGTTTGCAGAGAAGCCTGGAAAACACCAGCTAAATACAATGTCGAGTATTTAGAACACACATATTTTAAGAACTTTCAGAATTATCTATTCTTCAATAGTATTAGGCCAGGCAGAGGAATCGGGGATCCACGTGTGACAGACATCCGTGCTCTCCAATACCTTCCTGGTGGAACAATCAACTTTAAGTTACACTTTTCGGACCAATGGCAGTCTTTACCTCAGTGAAAAAATCAGAAAGTTGAAACAATGGCACTTGAAAATTTTCCGCATCTGTACGATGAAAGGTTGGCAATCAAACGAAGGAAGTTTGATGATCTGCAAGAACTCAAGTCCATTTTAGAAAAAGACTACCACAATTTTTACGACAACATTCCCTTTAAATAAATCTTTGGATCATTAGTTTTGTTTAGAATTAGGTTTTCATAAATCAATATTTTGTAACATGCCTTTGATTGGAATAATATATTTTATACTTTTATAATAAAAGGCCGTCTATTTGGATAATTAAAAATTAATTTTGGTTTATTATTCACACCAGCTATACCTCTACCATTAAGAAAAACTCGTATCTCCAAGATAAATTATGAGAAAAACTCCTGCAGGAAAAGTAAGGTATAAGAGAAAGGTAATTTTAGCATTTTATAATGTTAAAAGAACATTTTAAAAATTATTTAGTTTCATGTTATCATTTTTTCATTGATAACCATTATATAACAATGTTTTTTACGTTCCTGAAAAATTTGACATTTTGGAGTTACGAGGTTTGCTAATTAGTGTAGCGATTTCCTATCTCCTCTATCTAAATCTGTGGTCCAGATTCGATGTTAGTATTCGTGCAATTATAAGTACCAAGCGATGTATCCCTGAAGATACACTCTCTTTTTAGCAAAAAACAGTATTTTTTATAAAATTAATATGCACATTCGTAGTCCATGGTTTAGTTTAAATGTAATTCTCATAAAAAAATCCATTGTTTTAATTTTGCCAATTAGAGGATTTAATACATATCCAAAATCAGAAAATAATTTTATTTATCTTCTGTACCGGAATATTTTTTTAATAAGTGTTTCAGCTTCAGTGCGCCAATGTATTTGTCATGACAATTTTCTAAAAGATCTTTCAGGAAATACTTCCGTTGAAACTCGGTATGCATATTCCCCAGAAACATCTCGTATTAGATCCACAATAGACGGAAGATTTATCAATGTATTTATTCGCTATCCGCCCTACATAATACAAAATGTCATATATATCTGGATTTGCATATTTGTAAAAATTTTCCGGGGATCACCCATATACAATACAGCGTAATCTTTCAATTTCAAGAATCCGCATATACAGAATCCTCTAATGATATTCAATGTCACTGGTTGGAATCGTACAGGGTAATTTCCAAATTTTACTGACTTTTTAACATCTGAAAGATTAGAATGTATGTTAAAATCAGCAGTTCTTTAAAATCGAAAACATAAAATCGAGTATTAACTAAAATATACTACTCGAAAATAATTGAACTGGATAATCTAATTTGAATTTAAAAATGTTCAAATAATTGAATTGTTAGTGTATATTGCTTAACAAACAATTTGTAATGGCCTTTAAACAGGGCGGTTTCTCCATTGGTTCCTTTGTACAGTGAATACTCAGTTAAATTTCATAAAAACACATTATTTTATAATTAGATAAATAACACAAAAATATAAAATTAATTTTAATATTTGTATATTCATACGTATTAATCTGTGACACAGTATAACTACCAATACCAGTATACTGTATCTGTGGCGCATAATGATGAGTGAATCCAGACGAGCAAGAGGATTTCATGAAAGTATGTAGGCTAAAAAAAGAAAACAACACGTCAACTGATCCTTCAAACTGCATAAAAACACATCATTTAGCGCTCACACAAATAAAAACAAGTATTGCCAGTCTAGTACAATTCACAATTGTACTAGATGTAGTACATTCTCGAAGAATCTGGTACTCTCGAAGCAAAATCTTGGCGTGTTCTCTGTTCGTTATCTATAAAGACCCGCTTTTTCCTCTTCAATAAATTAGATGTCACTGCAAAGATAATTTAAAAAATCTGGTACATTTAAGGAATCTAGTACATTTTTAGACACATCTGATACATAACAAAAACATTCTGGCAACACTGTACTAAATCAAACAAACTGCCACTGTCATTAGGGTCATCCTTCTACTATGAAATACTTTGAATAAAAGATTATTTTAATTGTGCTCATTTAAAAAAATGTGTTTGATTTACAATTGTGTCTTCAATAAATTGGAAGTATCTGTGTCAATTCAACGATTGTTCCTGAAAAACTTCTTTAAGGCAAGGTAAATAAAAGTATTTCTAAAGTTTTGTTGTTTTATTTACCTATAATAAAGTTTAAAGACTCTAATTTATTTTATATTTTGTTTCAGTATCTAAGACTATTCTAAGACTACTTTAAAATTGTTACCTATTTTGTACTAACTGTAAATACTATAAAGTAAGAAGTAAGCAAAAATTTGTAAATTTTTATGTTTCCCACAAAACCCACTGAAAGGAAAAACTTGGTCGTAACATCATTATGGAAATGCAAATGTACAATAAACGTTGAAAAAAGATAAATAGTCAAATGGTTTTTTACTTTAAAAATGTAAATCGGAAAAATTGATCAACCAGTTAAATTTAATATACTCATATTGAGAAACTTTATCTAAGAAATGGTATGCACATTTAAACATTAATTTTGATTATGACAGGCATTTAACAAGTCACATCCCACATATAGTCTAAGATCCGAAGTAAGGTCGACCTTCACCCATCTGTTCATAAGAAAATACGGTCCAGAGTATTTTTTTCTTAAAGTAAAAAAAACGACACCCTGTAAAGTATTCCCCAGATGCTTTAACTATGCCCAAACTTTAATCAGCTCACCGCAGGATGGATAAAAGCTTTAATTTAAAATTTGGTGTTTTTCTCTTGGTCCGTTTTTGAGTTGTCTTAAAAATTCGAAATTTGCACTTTTCCTCAAATATCTCGAATTAGGTCCATTTTAGGAAAATCATGTATAGGAACAAAATAATAGATAATGACATCATAAACAACTTTTATCATAATTTTTATACTTTTCTTATCTGTACACAGAAAGGAAAGTAAAAAATGGGCGTGACCGTATTTTCTTAGGCAACCCATTTGCAGTATATTTAAAAACATATTTTATTTAATAAAAAATAAGTTTTTTCCATTAAACAGATGGGTGAAGGTCGACCTTATTTACGGATCCTGGACTAATATCTACATGCTCTGGGTAATCAATCCCATGAGTACATATAAAACATTAATATATTATCTACAATTAAAAAATAATTTGAAAATACAGTTAAAGCAGAGTTATTTATTTACACAAAATTACTATTACTCTGTTATTTATTAAAACGCATTATTTTTTTAGTACAATTGGACATGAAAAAGTCGGTAATGAGGGTAGGACAATAGCCAGAGCAAGAATAATTTGGAATCGTGAAAGACACATAGAAATGGTCATATGGAGAATTAAGTGATAACATTTTACAATGTATATCTAACTATTATAGTTACAGATTTCTGTAAATTTTTAATTATGTGCTACTTTGAAACTTTTAGTATCCTTTGACAAAAGACAGATGTTGATTATTCTTGTTGACCTCTTTAAACTGTTTATTTTACTTTATACATTTTTTTTTACTTTTTACACAGTAATCTGTAAA